CCTCGACTGCCGTGTGTCGCGCGGGGCGCGGCGGTCTCACCGGCCGGCCGCCGGTCAGAGTGATCTCAGTGTTCACCTGCTGGTCGCGCCGCGGTACCGGCCGGGGCCGCTCGAGGCCGTGCCCGGGCGGCGACCTCCGCACCAGTGTGAGCGTCACCTGTCCCCCGGAGCCGGAGCCGCGCCCGGAGCCGGAGCCGGAGCCGGAGCCGGGGTCGGCGGCATCCTCACCGGGCAGCGGAGGCAGACTGGGCAGCGCCACCTGCAGCCGCTCCATGGGGTCGATCGGACGCGCGCCGCCCGGCCGTCTCGCCCTGCTAGCATACGGGGAGGGAGGAGTCAACGATGATATATCGGGCATGATGCGATACAGATTGATTAAAAAAATAATCAAACAAACAACCATTTGCTACACAAAGCCAAACAGTCTGTAGTAAACAAACAAGTCAGGCCATGTATCGTGCGCACTAATTATTTTCACCTTTTGCACTCAATTGCGAAACAGCGTACCTACTAATCGTATAGCAGGGAAGGCTAGTGCGCTCACTTCTGTTCCAATCATGCTTACTTGTTCGTCCCCCAGACCCTTATCATAAACAGGTGATAATCATAACCAGGCCAAGTCAATGATTGAGGCGAACCGTGTTTGAAAATGATAGTACGCATGAATTACGGCTTTTTGATTGTCCCGATAACTCAAAACATCCGAATTGGTTGATGAAGTTTAGAGTCTATATAGGGCTTTGGTCTCATCAATTGGATTAATCAATTCAATCATTTGACCTGATTTTGAAAATCTAAAATTATAACCTTATGTGTAATTGATCACTCTAAATAATAAATTATCACCGGACCGGTACCCTCGATCCCACAAAATACGTGTCAGGTCAAAGCTGGAAAATCACAGTCACTGTCCGTGTTCGCAAATCGCGGCAGGTTGAATATTTGCATGTTAAATAATTGCAACGCACAATCAAAATAGCCTGGTTACCTCATGGTCCAGCTGTGCCGCCCACTCGTTCGACTGTCCATCTACCGAACACAGTACAGTTGTTTCGCGCGGTATCCTGTCCGCTGTGCTGGCCTCAGGAGTCTCGTGCTGTGCGCTGTCCGCCGCACTGGCCCCGCCGCCGGAGAGTGACCCGTCCTGGACGCGGTGGCCAGCCTAAAAGGCCTCGACGGCCCGTCGATCGGGCCGGATTTAATTTCCAATCGAAGTTGACTGATGGAAAGCGGCGCTACACGGCCCGGTAATCGGCCGAGCGGCTGGCACCGGTCGGCCCGCCGATGGCCCGGCCGGGTCGGTTCGGGGCCGCTGGACGGGCCCGAGCCAGGCGCCGGCCGCCGACCGACCTCCCTGGCCGGATGTTCTCCCCAGTTGACTGTCCTTCACAGTTGCTGCTGTGCTCCCTAATCACACCGACGGACCTCCCCAATTGGGTGTCCTTTCCACTTGGATGCCCATCCAAGTCGGCTGTCCTAAAAACCAACGTGGACTGGCCCAAGATTACTTTACTAATAGACTGACCGTAGTCCGCTGTTCTTCCCTCCATCCAAATCGGCTTTTTTATTCGGTTGGCCTCCCCATTACCAGGTGTCGCTTGCCGTGCTGGTTTATTTGTATTAACGTAACGGCCCAGTAACCCTTCAATTGCACCATATTGGCGTCAGAAATCGTCACGTCGTGCTCAGTGCTGTTTTACGTTAGCAGGCTACTGGCTCGGTTTTCTGCTGGTGAGTTTATGTTGCGTGATCAACGGTCATGCTGCCCAAATATAGTAGAGTTCATTCATGATTCTGATGTTCATGTATGTAGACAGGCGACAATGCGATAGACGGTAGTGGCCAGTGACGGTAATTTGTTGGACTTGTGGGGTGGCCTGACAGCGAGAGCGAGATGACAGCGAGATGACAGCGAGATGCGCCAATGTGACGGCAAATATTTATCTGGGTTACATGAGCGAGTAAATGCGCATCAGGAACGGATTCTCCTATTCGCTCACCATTACAGTGCGTTTGTAATACGCATTTACCCTGCTCCTCTAACCCAACCCCGGTCATTGTCGCTTATCATCACTGCATTCGCCACCCGCTACGTGTGACACTCGACACTTGTCACATGTGACACTGATCGGCGATCACTGATCAGTTTTCACTCATCTGTACTGCCCGTCCTTTCATCATTCATCGTCAATCTCCACTCGTTTTTCGTCTTTCGTCACAAATTGCACTCGAGTGGTAAATGCAGAAGTCATCTGACACTATGATGCTTCAGACGACGGATTGTCTCACCTGTCTCTGCTCCTGACGTGAGTGCTGAGTAGTGTCTGCTGAGCCGGGTCGGGTGGCCGGTCACACAGACCCGTCGGCTGGCGCGGTCGGCAGCGGTGGCACCACTGACTCCGTACCTTGATAAACTGTGGGACCAGGCCGGACGAGGCCTGGCCAGTGCAGTGAGACACCAAAGGGCCGGTGCCCACATCGGTGCCGGCCCCTCACTGTGCACAGGGGAGCCGAATTGATCAAACGGTGGCCGTTCCAGTACGGCTTGTGTGCGGGGGTGGCCCGTCTCCGGCACCGCTCACCAGCTGCTGAGTCACACCATCGACTATCGAGTCACACCGCGAGTTACACTAACGAGTCACCCCATCGCCAGTTACACCGCCGAGTTACACTATCGAGTCACACCATCGCCAGCTGCACCGCCGAGTCACACTAACGAGTCACACCATCTCCAGCTACACCGCCGAGTCACACTAACGAGTCACACAATCGCCAGCTACACCGAAAGTCACAACGGTGCGTCGTCGCCAAGTCGACTGAATCTGAGTAGAAAATATGTAATCACGAGCCGTTTTCTAGCATCATCCAGCCGCAGTGGCGACCAGACGATAACGAAGAGCGATGAAATGTCGAACCGCACTCATCGCACGAACCATAATTGCAACTGGAAGGGCACAGAGCGGCTCTTTAGGTTCCATGTTGTCCGCACTTTGACGATTCTCCTCTTGGCAATATGGCTGGAGTTCGGATTGAGGCGCTAATCTCATTCAGACAGAGGCACCGAGAATGGCTGCCGCGGACCATGGATACCTCATCAATTATTTTATCGCCTCCAAGTGCCACGGGACTGGAGAACGGTATCCCGCCGTGCGAGTAATTTTTTTTTTTAATTTAGTCCGAACCTTTTGATAGGAGGGATTCGCAAGGACAGAGCCACCGCTAAGCGAAGCTTGTTGCGGTGACCCTGCCATCTACCCTCCGATCGCGCAATTCCGGTTCTTTGGCAGAATTTAGAGTCCAAAGTTTAACGTGCGCACATAGCCGCGCACGGCCGGTCCCCTTACTGACTTCGCCTGGCTACGGCCTGCCACCAACCGCAACCATACCTGTCAGGAAGCCCATAAATGTCAAGCGCCCGTCGCGCTTCGAACCCGGAATGTTATAACCGAGAACGCGTGCTCTCACCACGCGGAGTCCAACGCTCTACCAACTGAGCTACGGGACCGGCAAACCTTCGTTCATACCTTGGGAAAATGGGAATGGAATGTCAGCCAGAATTATGCGTCATGCATCTCCTTGTCTTTGAGAGTCTCGCGTTGCAATTATATCGACTACCGTTTGATTTCGCGCCATAACACGAGCCAGTGACTATTTCTGCTGGTTATCTTAGGTCGAAAACACATCAATATTATTTCGCAACTGATGAAGCGTTTTGTAAATCACAAATAGCATAAGTACGCGTCACTCGGCTCCATTACCCCACCTCCCGGCTACTTAGAAGCCGGAGAACCCGATTCCGTGTTATGCGGTGCAGCATACTTTCAGGCGTATACCACTAGCGCCACCTAGGGGCTAGAGTATAAGCTGGACTAGCATCGTGGAAGACAGAGGTCGCTCGCAACGTGCGATGCTCCTATTTTATTCACGATCATAGCTGCTTATCACACGAGCCACACATGATAGATTAAAGGGACAGTATCATCGAAAAAAAAATCCATGTATGGAGCTGATTTTTTTTTTACTAGCATTTCTTATTTTTCTGAATCAGAAAAACATAGTTTGAGGACCGAACTCGGTGAAAAATATTGCAACCACATTTCATTTTCATGATTCATTTTCATGAGCGAACCACCACTATACAAGCATGGCCGCCAGTTTGGAAGCATGTAAAATTACTACAGAACTGGCGCAGATAATACATTATTGACGCTACGCTTACGCGGTCGTTCTTCTGATTGAGTTGTCCTTAGGGAGAGGTAGCCTTAGGTATTGCCTATAAAAATATAACGTGACAATTGGAGGGAGTGACAATTGGACGTGACAATTGACAATGGGAGAAAATATCACGTGACAATCACGTGATAAACGTCATACATTGGAGGGAGATTGTGATTCAAGCTGGAGGAATTCCTTTGTTGAGCCGCTAGAATCCGAAGGAAACAGCGGAAATTGCCTACGACTATTTAATGAATTTAACGGTGATGAATAAGTGCGAAAAACGTTTTGGCTTTATAAAATTTGATGAAATGACCAGGGTAAAAGTTTTATTACTGGCGGTCAATTCAAAACGGCGCAAACATTTAAACAGTGAAGATAGTGAAGCACGATTCAAAGTGTGGTACACCTTTCGTACTTTGAGCGGCGATAGCGGGATAACGGTGTGGAGCTTCGAGGATCGGTCTTCAGTTCCCGGACCAGAAAGGTGGGGCCTATGCAATGTCAAATTTCATCAAAATGGTGATACTGTCCCTTTAACGACAAGCATGGCTGGTATATCACGTTTGTATTGTCACGTCCGCGGTTCAACACATCGTACATGTCAAGGCTGAATAAAGCCACACAGTGACTAATTTTATTGAGACTAGCGGCGGGTGGGGGTGCACGCAAATTGTATATGTCTATGGTGGGACTGAGTGAGAGACTCACAGGTCAGGTCAAGGCAGATTATACCACAGGTCAAAGCAGGGCGCTCCCATCTCCGCCCGATCTAAGAGGCCATGTCAGGGCAGTCCGAGGCTGCCGTCCGCCGGCAGCTGGTCCAGACACGCATGGTGGTGGTTGGGGCACGCCGGCCACACACCGGCCACGTACCGGCTGTACTCACCCACCAGTTCATCATTGGCGTACCGCCAGTGCACGGCGTGCTTCAGGCAGTCGTAGCCGTAGCGGTTGCGGGCGTACCGGCCGGGGTTGGCGTGCCCGGGCAGCCAGACGCCGCCCAGCCGCACCAGGGTGGGTCGGCGGCGCATCTCAGCAGGCAGCTGATCGGTGCTGAAGTGATGCTCGGGACGCAGGGTGATCAACATAGCTGGAGTATGCACACGCAGCACGGTGGCCAGCCGTGCCTCGGAGTTTGTGGCGTTGGCCGGCACAGGCTCCGTCACCGGCTCCAACACGAGACCGTATCGGCGCAGACGAGACATCCGCGAGCTGACGAGCTCAAAGTCGTCAGCGTTGATGGCGATCTGGGTGTTGATGCCCCAGGGTAGAGGTTCGCCCAGTTTGACGGCAGCTAGCAGGGCGCCCGCCTCCAGTTCGTGTTTGACGCCTGACTCAGCCAGGGCGGCGCTCACCAGCCGGAGAGCGCGCTCTAGCTGGTCCTGACAGCACGGCGGCTGACTGTAGAACCGAGCCGTACGCAGCGGGTTACACTGAATGGCCACGTCCCGACACCGAAACTTATGCTGCGTGCCGCCGGCCAGCGAGAGCGAGCTCAGCTGCCACTTGGTGGCCAGCTGTCGCCAGGCGTCGACGGCACGCTCCTCGGCGACCGGCCGGCGCGCCGACTCGTACATGATATCGGGACAGAGCGCCGCCAGCCGCGCGCCGCGCCGCAGTCGCAGGAACCAGTCGTGCACGACCACAGCATCAGGCAGCGTGGTGTCCAGCGGCAGATCGCGCATCGTGGCCGTGCGCGTCGCAAACGACTCGTCCAGGTGGTCGCACAGCATGCACTCGAGCGCCGAGTGCCGGTATCCAGCGCTGTAGCTGAGACGGTGTCCGGACATCGTGGTCTGCAGACAGCCGGCACGCCAGTGACCGGAGCGGTTGCGCGCCGCGCCGCCGACCGCGTCCACCATGGCCAGTCGACCGAGCACGCGAACGTGCCGCTCCAGAAGCAGTTCGCCAGTGGCATGGCTGAGCTGGCGCGCTACCAGCACGTACGGCGTGCTTGCTGCGGCCGACGCTTTATTCAACAGCGTTCCGAGCCGCGCACTGCCGGACAACTCTGCCGGCACCAGTTTCACGGAGGGCTCTCCTCTCGGCAGCAGCGCCCGCAGAGCCCCCGTCTCGGCGGCGGCAGCGGCCACGATCACCGGCAGGCGCGGGTACAGCCGGAGCAGCTGGGTGACTACTCTGGCGGCGTCAGAGGCGGCAGTGGAGTCTGTGACGGGCATCAGCACCGAGATGACTGTGTGTAGTGGCGGGGCTTCCTGAGAAGATACGGACACAGCCAAAAACGGTGTGTTTACTGTTTAGGATGCGCCGTCCACTGTCATAGAGATCTTTCATACACACTGCGAGCCAAGTGTCACTTGGTGTTGCGTGTTTACCAGGCGAATATGATCGACAAATTCCATTTTAACCCACGAGCCGCTGGGGGGGGGGCATAAAGTTGCCCCCCCCCCTTTACGTTTTGTGAAATATCTCCGAAACCTGATGACCTACGAACGTGAAACTTGGCATACCTTCAAATGAATACCTAGGCAATGTTTGAGGAAAGTTTGGTGGTTGTAGTACCTAAGATGACGTCACAGTGACGTCATAAAGTTTTGTCGTTTTCCGATATGGACCGTTTCTGATGACGCTGAGCATGAAACTCAACTGTAAATGAACTAGACAGCACCTGCTGTCATCCTAAAACATCTAACTACACTTCCATCTAGTTTCTGACCAATAATCGACCCTTTATATTCGGTCCCATATATCTGATGTATCGTGAGGAATATGAGAGTCGCAAATCTATAATTTCATTTATGACGTCACTGTGACGTCACTTCAAATGGGATCGACACCAAATTTGGACACAACCTCGGCTAGGTATTCAGGAAGATGTGTGCAAAGTTTCGCTTCTCTATCTCTTCGCGTTGCGACGATATCGTCGCAGAAGTAAAGGGGGGGGCCACTATATGCCCCCCCCCCCAGCGGCCGGCGGGTGGCGCGGAGGCCCAGCGGCCGCCGGGTTAAAGTAAAGCCTGACACAATATCACGCTTTCATTGAAGTTTTGCCCACAATATTTTGTCAATGCGAAACCCACCTATCTGTATGAGCAACATTTGAGCAAGCACACTACCCTTCATAGGCGTAGGAACAGGGGGGGCCAGGTGGGCAAGTGCCCACCCACTTTTCGAGGTGGGGGGGCCAACCATGTGTTTTGGCCCACCCACTTTTTACTCGAGGCCTCTTGTCTCGATTTGAGAGGACGTCGTCACCTTCCAGAATAAACAAACTCGGTAAAAATAAGTTCCACGAATCCCCACGCACGGACTCCAAGGGGCCGTGATGGATCCAGGGAGGCCCTCTGTTCATACTTGTCAGTCGAAGCCCCTGAGACTGATGGCCTGAGAGGCCCTAGTGGATCTGAGGAGGCCCCAATATCCACACTGGTCTGGGGAGGCCCCTGACACTGGCGGTCTGGGAAGCCCCTCTATCCACACTAGTCAGAGGTCTGAGACTGGTGGTCTGAGAGGCCCCTCCATCCACACTAGTCAGAATAGGCTCCTGACACTGGCGGTCTAGCCGAGGCCCCCTACCCTCACTAGTCAGAGGAGGCCCCTCTATCCTCAATAGTCAGAAGAGGCCCCTGAGATTGATGGTCTGGGAGGCCTATCCATCTACACTGTAGTCAGAGGAGGCCCCTGAGACTGATGACCTGAGAGGCCCTTATAATCACACCAGGCAGAAGAGGCCTATGAGACTGATGGACTGAGAGGCCCTTCTATTCATACTGGCCACAGGAGACCCCCAAAACTTTCGGTCTGGGAGGTATGACCTCAATTCGGCACCAGTCAGAAGAGTCCCCTGAGACTGATGGCCTGGGCAGCCCTTATATTCACACTAGGCAGAGGAGGCCCCTGAGACTGATGGTATGAGAGGCCCTCATATTCACACCAGTCAGAAGAGGCCTCCGAGGCTGATGGCTGTGAGGCCCTTCTGTTCATATAACTGGCCACTGGAGGCCCCTGAAACCGGTGGTCTGGGAGGGCCCTCTATCCACACTAGTCAGAAGAGGCCCCTGAGACCGATGGTCTGAGAGGCTCTTATTACTGGCCACAAGAGGCCCTTGAGACTGATAGTCAGAGAGGTCCACTCTTAATGAATCTGAGGGGGCCCTCTATCCACATTTACACTTTTCTAGGGAGGTCCCCGAGACTGATGGTCTGAGAGGCCCTTTTATTTATACTGTCCACAGGAGCCCCCTGAGATTAATGGTCTGAGAGGCTCTTCTATTTATACTAACCAGAGGAGGCCCCTAGGATTGATGGTCTAACAGGCCCTTCTATTTATACTAGCCAGAGGAGGCCTATGAGACTGATGGTCTGAGAGGCCCTTCTATTCAAACTAGGCAGATGAGGCCCCTGAGAATGATAGTCCGAAGAGCCATGCGGCGGCAACTGGCCGTGGCCATATTTCGGCTCGGTAGGGCCCCACAAAGCTCATGAGAGCACCTCAAGGGCTCCTAAGTCCTAAGTAGACACGCTTATCCCCATAAGCGTGCCACGCCGGCTTCTGAAGGCTCCTTGTAAGTTGTAGGCATCTAAGGGCCCTTTCCGGCCTCTAACGGCTCCACCCGCCTGCGATGGCTCCACACCAGTGTTTATGAGCGCCACACAGCGGCGCCTTTGAGGGTCATACTAGTGTCTCTTAGGGCCCTATATCGGTGGCTCTGAGGGCCCCACATCGGCGCCTCTGTGGGCCACCACACCTGTGCATCTCAAGGCTCTATAGGTACATCTGAAGGACCCACACTGACACCTCTGAGGGCCCCACACCAGTATCTCGGAGCTCTGAAGGCCCCACACCGGTGACTCTGAGGACTCACCGGCTCCTGAGAGCACCATGTTGATGTCTAACGGCTCCACATATGCCACTGAAGGCACCACACAAGCTCTCACTGAGCTCTAATGTCCATGTACCGGCCTCTGAGGGATTTAAGCCAGCGCACTCATAGCTCCACACCAGCAATTGTAAGGGCTTCACACTGAAGTATCTGAGGGTTCCACACCGGTGTCTCTAAGGGCCACATACCGGCATTTCTGAGGGCTCCATACCGGCGTCTCCGAGGGTCCACATCTGGCGGGCACCCATCAGCGACTGAAGGTCCCATACTGTCTAGTGTCTACTCCGAGAGCCCCATCTGCGTCTCGGAACACCATGCCGTCTCTAAGAACCACAGCGGCTGCTCCGTACGAAAGATGGGCGTCTGCATGCCAAAGGGAAGCGGTTCTGAGACAGTAGGGCACCTACGTGCAATAGAGGGGCGCCTATGAAGCCCATCATAGGGGCGCATCAATGCGAAAGAGGGGCGCCTCTGAGGCCTACATATATGGGCGTCCACATGCAATAGAGGTCTGCCTGCAATTGATCAATGCCATGGGGGTGCATTCATAAGAAACAGGGGCGCCGGCATGACAAAGAGAGGCGCCTTCAAGTGTCCATAAAAGAGAGACGCCTATGAGCGCACATTGTATGCGACAACGGGGCGACTGTGTGACATATAGGGATGTCTCTGATGACTATACATAGGGCGCTTATATGCCAAAGAGGGCGCCTATGAAGCTTATGGGGGCACCTGGGAAACGCGGAAGACATTTGTGTAAGGGTTTTCAGGGGTCATGCGCCGTTTGCGGCAAATAGATTCTAAAAAAAAAATCGGAGGGGGAATAAGTTTTAAAAATGGTGCGGACTTTCCGCACTGTTCGCTTAACCCGGCAGGCGGTGGGCCTACCAGCCACCTTCCACGCGGTGGGGGGGGGGCACTTTTTTGCCCCCCCCCCGTATCTCCGAAACTACTGGACGGATCCGAAAAATTCAAACGGCGTTCGATAGCCCTGTCAAATTTGTCGAGGGAAACCAAATTTCATTGACCTCGGGGTCACCGATGACGTCACAGGTCAGGTCAAAGATAAAATGTTTCACCGTTCACAGGGCTTCTAGGGAAAGCGCTATAACACCGAGTAAAACGCATTTTGTCGAAAATCAGCGATAAGGCTTCAGTTGTCTAGTACAAATGTTGCTATTAGAGGTCACTGGTCATACCAGGTCAGGTCACAGGTCAGGTCACCAAAGGTCACCAAGGGTCACCACATGAGCCCAACTTTACTAAGGTTATGTGATGCATGTTTTATGGCCAGTTTTTCATTTCCAACTCAATGGTGTTGTTTATAAGAGCATCAGGTACGGTTTAGGTCACTTTCTGGTGGAGGTCAGGTCAAGGTCAGGTCAAAAAAGGTCAAATTTCAAAGTTGATATTTTTGCACAAAATGGGTATCGATTATGGGTATCGATGCAGCTCGTCACGGGGAGTCTAATGGTGGTCTTTGTTTTGCGCTACGAGGTCTAGAATTGCTAAAAATTGAGTTTGAAAATTTTGACGTCATCAATTTTGAACAGTTTTTTCGCTATAACTTGGCCAAAAAACGAGGTATCGATCTCAAACTTGGTATGTAGATAGAAGGCGGTAGGGACTATCACATATATTCCGGTTTTTTCGAAATTCAAAAAACTTTTTGGATTTTTTGGCTATTATATTCAAAAAATCTATTTTTTTATTTTTGGGGGTCAAAATCCAAAAAATTTGAAAAACCGAAATAGCAGTTTTGTAGCCCTTTTGATTCCACACCTTTTATGTATAAAACATTTTTCTGTATCTCTAAAGCTGTAGGCCTGACAGCTCTTCCCGCGAAACCTTTTTTTGGGTCGAAAATGGCAAAAATGACGTCACTCTTACGTCATTAGCGGCCAACCTATCATAGCCTTTGGAAAAATTTTTGGTCACCATGTGCGCTAGCTGCTCCCGGGAGGGTACTGAAAGTTTGGTGACGATCGGCGCAGCGGTTCTCGAGATATATCGAAAAAAGTAAAGGGGGGCAAAAAATTGCCCCCCCCCCCCACCGCCTGGAAGGTTAAGCGGTTACGCCCCTGGGTACATCTGCCCGATCTCAGAAGCTAGATTTGGAGGTCATACTTGAAAGCAGCCAGCAGGACGAGGCAAAAGTTGGAGGCCCCTGAAAATAGGAGGCCCCCTGGAAAAGGAGGCCCCTTGGCAGGGTGGCCCACCCACTTTTCATAACGTTCCTACGCCCGTGCTACCCTTTCCGCTTACGAATCTCTGTGGCCTGTGTCCTATTACCTTACACTCCTCCGTAACAAATCCATTGTTGTGCAGGGGCGCGTCGTCCGCCGCTCCGTGGTACAGTTCCGGACAGACCTCCGACCGCGCCGGCTCCGACTCCGAGTCCGAGTCCGAGTCGTGGTCGAGGCCGAACGTCTTGTCCAGCTCGTCGGGGTCCAGCTGCGCCAGCGCCGCCCGGGCGTCCAGCCGCTGCGCCAGCTCTGTGAGCTGAGACAGCACTGATGGGTCCGGCTGACGGTTCAGCTCTGCGGCACAGAGCACGTGCGTCTTAGTTCAGGACGGGCTTTGGAGTCGCTGAACATAACTATACACAGATATTTTACATTCATTGCATTGGTAAACGAGCGTGATTTTAGCGATGCGGCACTCAACTGCACTGCAACTATCATTCATACATATGGTCTGTGATGAGCAAAGCACTTTCTCTCGGCAGGCACGCATAATGTCAGAGTGGCTGACACGCCTCCTACCTGCGGCGGTGGCCAGCTCTGTCCGGATGCGTTGGAGCCGCGCTGCCATCGTCCGGCGCAGCTCCACGCTGTCACCACAGAGCACGTGACGGTGCAGGCTGCTCTCGGAGAACAGAGCGGATCGCTCCGGCAGCAGGTCTGTTGGGCAGAGGGAAGTCAGGGCGGAGACGTCAGACGGCCGAGCTGACAGTAGCAGTGGTCGTCATATTCGTCCGGTCAGTACTTACTCTCTCAGAAGATCCATTACCGTGCATATGATGCATTCAACGTGCGTAGGTACTTTACGGGAGCACGCATTCCGATCCCAGATGTTGTACATAGTGTAGACTTAGAATCCTTTATTAGCATGCATTTATTGCGTATGTATGTAAGACTTTCCTTTCCCTGTCTCTGTCTTATTCCCGCACCAAAAAGAAGTGCCAACATTTGACTGATAACAACAAACATGAACGTTACACACGATGTTGATGCCATGAGCAGCAGACACCTTTCCAGGTATTACCGGTGTGTCGGACGGCACCGTCTTACCGTCACCTGACGGACTGGTGAGCAGAAGGGTGGCCAGCGCACCCAGTACGGCGCTGGCGGCCAGCGGGGAGCCGAGCCGGACCAGCGCGCGCCACCGGGGCATCTCTGATCGCACCACGGACCCGCGTGTACTGCACAGGTGTACCCAGGCGGCGCGGTACGGCCGACATCGAACGGCTCGTGAGAGATTCCCGCGCGGCGGCAATCAATGGGGCGACCTGCGCCGGTCCCACGCCCGGCGTGCGATACCACCGATCGGGGCAGCAGTCACTGGAGGTGATTTACCATTAGTATCCGCTGTACGGAACAAACGGGCGATTTGCGATTGGTGTCGGCTGGACGGAACAACGGCGACGGAACATCACGATAGATACGTTGAGGTTCACCACTTAGTCTCTAGAGGCCAAGACGTTGCATTGAGGTGAATAATGCCACATAACGATATTGGGCCCAATAAGATACTTTGCCACGCTGTTGTAGCTGCATTGGACGTCATTCACTGCTGTCGGTACTCGGTTGTCTACCCAGAAACCGATTGGGGAGGGGGGAGGCGGTTATACAATACGTTACAACATATGCATATGTTTGTGCAATTTCATTTTATTTGTAGATAGCATAACAATTAAGCAAACATAACATTGTACGGTCCAATGTGGTGAGGTGATTGGTGAATTCATCGAGTTTAAACGATGCGCGATGCATGTACCAACTATCGCAAAGTTTCGAACAATAATAACACAACGTGTTATGTGTGACGGAGAGGACACACATGCTGTCACTTCAGCATCTACTTCACCGAAACGTTTTGTGCAAAGTAACAAAGAAGTTTCGTTGAGTAACGCAAAACAAAAGGAAATAGCGTTAGTCAAGCATCATTGAAATAAAAACCGCATTCAAGTACCAACAAAACAAAACAAATATATCGCGGGATGAAAACACGAACCCAACCGCGAGAGATCTGATAGTACAAATATGCGAAAACTGCAAAACGATGATTATATACAATGAGCCAAGCACAACCACCTACACGAACCCACACACAAGTCGATTTCCTAGGGCTTTCGGCTTTGTGATGTATCGACCTCCACAGCCTCTACAGGTCAATGGTGTGATAGTTGGAGATAGTTAGAGTTGGAGATGAATGACAGTCATAAACAATGCATACAATACAATCAATGCGTGCGCATTGTAACGGCATTTGGTATCCGTAATGTTTCATGAGTACGATTATTCATGAGCACGAGGAGCTACGTGATAGTACCGCACCCAACCCAATAAAACAGAGTAGACAGGCCTGTGGCCTGTCCAATTTGCACTTAAAAACTTACCCACGTAACGCAAACAGGCCAACGGGCCACCCGATTGTACTGGTCAGTCCGTTCGTGTCGGCAGTCTGACAGACTGGCAGCAGTCCAGTCTGTCAGGACCAGTCAGTGGTAAGGCAGTCTGTCTGAACCAGCAGTCAGCGCTACAGGCAGACTGTCACTCTCCAGGTCAGTCTTCGTTCGCAGAGGGCGGTCCAGTCCGCCCATCCCTCCTCGCCGGGCGCTCAGTAGCGACCGCTGAATATCACATCCACCACCATGTCCCTGTCCAGGTCCAGGTACCACAGCTGCTCGCCGAGACGGTGCAGCGCGGCGCGGCCCGCCGCTGCCGCCGGCGGTCGCCGCAGCAGTTCCGGACTGGCCTCCAGTCGGTCCAGCGCCGCCAGCAGGTCGCACCCGGCCGTCACCGGCGGCCAGCCGGGCCGGCAGCCCAGCGTCACGTGCGCGCGCCGGCCGCACTCGGTCCGTGCCGGCCGCTTCGAGCCGGAGACTGCCAGCGAGGGCTGGGCGGCGCCCACCTGCCAGCCGGCGGGTGGCGGTCGGGGCCGCTCGGGCCGCGCCGGCGGCGGCGGGCCCGCCTCCCGGTCCGACTGGTGCCACAGCGCCAGCTGCTCGGCGTCCAGCGTCACCCGGCCGCAGACAGTGCGCGGTGTGATCAGCACGGCTGTCAGCCGCGCCGTGGAGAGGGCGCCCAGCGCGCGCCGCACCTCGGCCCGCTCGCCGTACTGGCGGCCGGCGGCGGCGCGCGCCCGGCCGCCGCAGAAGAAGGCCGTGCAGTGGAGCAGCTCGGCAGGCGGCTGGTACAGCGAGCCCAGGTCTGGCGGTCACACAGAGGGACGGTTACCGGCGCGGAACACGCTACACCGTTTCACATCAGCGCCCATGACAGCGCACACCCCACATCACAACTAAGATTGGCCAATGGCCATGCTAGAGCAGGCTGCCCATGACACGCAACTGACCACGCATCGCAGTACGACTTTCCGTCACCCAGCAGGCTACGGGAGGCTCACCCGAGATATTGTCACTGCCTGTCATCAGCGTCAACTCCTCTCTGAACTGGTCGCTGGCACGGTGCATCGTCTGCAGGAGGCTCCACACTCGGTCCAGCAGATCGCGACAATCGGCGGCGTTCAGAAACCAGCCATAATACTTTGGTACCGGCTCCTGTATAGACTTCAGCTTCTTCCTGAAACCATGAGAAAACAGGGGTGGTAAGGTCTCGTTTGATAATAACGGTCGAAACCGTGAATGGCATTCTATTCAGAACAGCTCGTCTATGGCTTTCTAGCATGCACAAAAAGCATAATCTTCAGTGCGTGTAAACGCTTCTGTAATTTAGGATGTCGAAATATTAATAGCAATCCTCATCAGCTAAATCTAGCATCAGTCAGTCCTACATTTTCCATGACATGCTTTGCACATACCGATGTGTAATATGTTGGTACGAACTAGCGCACTGTTAAATATGCTTCACCAACACACACTTACACGCTTATTTACATGTGACCGTCTGCGCCCGAGTAATTTACCTACGCGGCCTGTCGGCGTACGCCCCCGCCCGTCGCCTCCGGCTGCTGAGCGGTACCTGATCTCCTGTTCGGTGACGCCGTGGCAGTTGGTGATGGCCAGTCGGTGCGGGTCGCGGCGCCAGGCCGTCGCCGGCTCCTGCACCAGCACCAGGTAGTGGTGACGCGCCGCCAGCTTGGCGTACTCGGACCACTCCCAGTAGCGCAGGTTGGTGTTGTCCACGACGATGTGACTGCGCTGCTCCAGACAGGCGTGTTCGGCGCGCTGCTTACATGACTCGTGCGCCGCCGACAGCTGCTCACGATCGAACTGGTAGCTGGTGACAGACAAACAAACCCCGAACACGGTGTGTCAACTGACAGCTTATCAGGCCTGGAGACACCAAGACGCATTTACAAAAAAACAGACTTTGAAGATCGTGCCTTTACCTGTATTAGCATAGAACGTTCACCAAAACCAGGACCAATATCATTACCAAAGAAACAAAAGAGAAAGAAACATCGGTAACTAACGAGCACATAAACCACGCAAAGCAGCTCACAAACAGCTTACCAATAATGCAACATGAAATAATAACAGCTCTGTTCCTGCACCTTTCATAGGTAGTAAAGTAAGAAGTACTTTACCAGTTTCCTGCCTAGTACCTACTCACCTGGCATCCTTCATGAAGAAGTGATCAGCCGAGCACAGGACGGTGCCCGGGTAGGTGGTCGCTATCTTGTCGGCCAGATAGGATTTGCCGCAGCCGGGCAGACCGCGCAGTACGAACAACACCTTGGAGGTGCGCAGATAGTCCACCGTCTCCGGGTCGTCCAGGAACGAGTACTGACAGCGGATCAGTGTGCCCAGCTCGGCCGGCAGCCGCCGCTTGGGCTCCGTCTGTTCGACGGCCGGCGGCGGCGGCCGCTTGACCGGCAGCACCTGGCCGGCCGGCTCGGCGGGCTGCACCAGGAGCACACCATTGGGCTGGTGTTCGAGGAGCACAGCCTCGCTGTGGTGCTCCTGCCGCGTGCCGTTTTCGACCTTCTCTCGGATCACCATCTCCTCGTCATCGTGCAGCGCCACGCGGTGCAAGCCACGAGCGGGCGCGTGCAGCCGGCCGCCGCACTCGTCCTGACCGGGGGCGTCGGCCGCTGAGGGGCCATCCGTCGCACCCCGCCAGTCGGGAGCTAGACGCGCCAACACCTGACCCATGACCTGCTCCAAGCACCGCGACACCAGGTACAGAGCGACCGTGAGCGAGCCTAGCATTCGGCCGCAGACGACGCCCGACAGCGTCCACCAGACTGTGCGGCAGTAGACAGATCCGCGTGGCCCAGACTCTCAGATTGAGGGGCACTCTGCAGTCTGCCAATGATTAGTCCCAAGGGCCAAGCTGGAAACAGAAAAAACAATCAGCATTTATAAAAACCTATCAACAAGGAAAAACAAGGAATTACAAATGGTTCTGCCAAAATATTCATTTTTATAGCAAGCCAAAAACATCGGTAGGTAACTATGAAAGAAGACAGCAAATTTACCAAAATATTTAAGACAACTGAAAGCCTTCCCCAAATGGGGCAGCTGGTGGTGTGGCACCACCAAGGGCACACTGAGGCTCAAGGCTTTCAGTGCTGAGGGGCAGGCATGGCCCACACAAGATTCCCTTACTACTCAGGTTGGTTCACTAGGGAAATAAAGGCGCCGTGGTGACGTCATCAGAGGAAATCCTTCACGTTCAAATGAAGGGGTCATTTGAATTGCTGACTTTGCTCGATATAGTCCTATTTTTTAGTTTCAGCCCCATTTATCATAATGAGGCGAACTCATTGTTACATTGGTACAACTTTTGATGACACATAATCCTTGTTTTTTTTCTCCAGCTTGCTCGAAACATGATAAAATTTGCATGCATGCCTATGGGTGAAGGAAGATTCTACCGCCGTGGTGATGTCACGGTAAAGGGATTCTGGAGCTCGTGAACGGGGGCTGGGCCCACGTGCCCTTCCCCCTTTGGCTACTAGCGTCCCACCACACTTCTTAAAAATTGACATTACATGATTACCAGAAATAAAGAATCAATAGTTATCAATGGGGGTCAGTGCCCAGTGGTCACACATATTTGGAATTGTTGTTCATCAATGGCCAAATTAGTGATGTGTTCTTAGTTCTTAAGAGGTACCTACCTATAAAAAAGGCTGTCATCTCTCAACTGAAAGGCCCCTCGTCGCTTGAGGAGCCCTTCCTTGGTAACCTATGAAACCCCTGCTACCCTAAGGGGTCTGGGGTCCCTGTTACCTTAGGGGAACCTACTGACTGCAGACTGCTCGCTCACCCTGGTTCCAAGGTCCAGTTACGTTATTTTCAAAAATAAATTTGAAAATATTTTTTTCATTTAGCTCTAATGCAATCATCAAAATGACTTAATTGAGATAACTTTTTAATGACTGAAAAAAGCTTCTTCATTCAGATTCCATGAAAGGGAGGAATATCATCAACACACCGAAACGTCAAATACTTGCAAAAAAACCCAATTTTTATTAATTTTACGTACCGTAACGGCCAGCAGACCTCACGTAATGCACGATATAATGGTATATAAAAACACTGGTGTTTGCAAGTGTTTGCAATGCCATCTATAGGTATTTGTCCCATAAATTATGTTGAAATTACACTATTACGCAGCAAAATTTAGACGGAAAGTTGTAGGTGATATGTTCCCTCTTAGTAGCCTTTAGATGTTAGATAAGTAGTTTTTAGGTAGCTAGGTTGTAAGGTCATATATTTAAGCTCATGATGTAGAATTAAGTCAGGTTATATTAGTTTTTGGTCCTAAAGAGGCATGAATTCAAGAGTTATATCTTTGCATAAAAGTTCACTGCGTTTTTGGTACTACAATTATGCCGCACTACATACGTTTCTGGCGCAAACATTGAAGCCGCGTGGGTTGTTGGGGTTGGTTGGGTTTGTGGTGTTGTGGTGTTGTGGTGTCAGTATAGAACAGAATTCGCCATTATATCGAAAATAATAATCGATTTAAGCATTTTTATATCAATTTCCATGTAATTTGAAAGGGAGAAGTATATTCAGACCTTAGAAAATATTTATTTTGATTGTTAAAAAGTCATGTATTGTCACCTTGCCTGTTACCAGTGTAGGTTAAATGGGCTCTATCACAATCATGGTATAGGTAGGTAGGTAGTAGGTACGGGTACCTCATATTTTTTAATAAATAGGAACAAATATTTTGTGTGCATGCAAAACAACAGCTCCAAAATCAAGTGAGACATGTATTGGTTGGCCTCGTAAGCTGGAGAGCCTTTGTCCATGTAAAAGCTGCTTTGAGGAAATCGCAAAGTAAGCATGTCATTATGGGTATTGTGAGTTATGTATTCATTATTTTTTGTCTGGTGTAGGATACTTAAATTGTTTCTAGTTTAAGTTTCAGTGTTACAATACATAAATATATGCTACAAGGTTACAACCTTGTCTTATAATACAAGGTTCTTACCCATTGCTTCTGTTTTTTATTGACATTTTTAAATTGTTAAAGGAAAAGGGCCACGTTTAACATGGGGATTGAAACTGAGATAGCCATCTTGTAGCCCGTGTCCGAAAACCTGCCTGACTAGGTACGGCTCTCCAGTAAAAGTCTTGTTGGTTTTGCTTTTTCGGACATATCTGGTCCTATATAATGTTCAAATGCATAAGTCTCAACCCGAATTATGTGTATGCACATTTACCACGAGACTGTGAAATTGCATCGTTGTATGCCAAATACTTTCCGAGATATTCACCAAAAACCTCATTTTCTGCCGTTTGGGGTATTCTGGCCGCAATCTTCCTGGGATCGCCTATGACATTAGTAGAGCCATCTAACGACAGGAACGCGGAAGCACAGAATCATGAATGAATCGAGCGCGTAGTAAACGGTGTATGAAAGGGAGACTCGGCAGAGGCTATCCGGGTGGCCGGCGCGCGGCGCGCCCTTAGGCACCGGCCGACCCTTCGGACCGCGTGGGGTCAGAGGTCGCGCTCGGGAAGTCTCGGCTCTGGGTTTTAGCGCTGTGCAGTCAGGAAGGGAGGATAGGATAGTGCTAGCCCGACTGACTAGTATCTCGGCTGATTCGTGTGGGGTGGAAGGGAGCACAGAACGGGATGGTGGCTAGTGGTGGATGATGGGATGGTGGTTAGGTTAGTGCATACTGCGTGGAACGTAGCTGAACATGCATTGTTTTTTTTTCATGGCAAGCAACATGCAGCAAAATGGGCAGGATTATGCCAGAACTCATACAAAAAGGAAATAATATTTCGGCCAAGGGAGTGGATGAGTGCCGTGACAAAGCATGGCGATGCTGCCAAAACCGGGAAGCTTTTTTGTCCCCATTTTTTTTTTACCCCTAACATGCAGCGCTTGATCCGAACTTAGAGGTCCCCGACTGACCTTAGACCTTAAAACCACACCCGTCCGGTGCGCCACCTTTTCTTCAGGGGCGCTCTTCTTGGTTGTATCTGTTCTTACCAATAACTAAAGCAAATCGAATGTATAGTAAAAAAGGCATACCTCAAACAGTTTTATTCACACCCGCTCAAGTGCATACTCGTTTTGACCTATACCTTCTCGCATCATAATATATCACTTCAGTGCTTACCTAACCCTCAACGGAATTTTGGGTTTTCTGCATATACCCCGGCCGAGGGGGGGGGGGCGATTACGACCCCTCTCCGTCTTTTTGCCCCTAATTGAGCTAGCGCCTTGCGGATAAAACTGAGCGCGTGCGTCGCATGAGATGCAGCAACTGGTACCCGAGTTGAATGTCTCAGGTCAACCGATAAACTCTGAGGTTAGTATAAGTGTTTCAAATCGCGGGATCGGTTTTTGGTAAACAACCACCATAAGTGGTTACAGAGCCAAGATAATGGCACCATCGGGTTTTGCATGCTCAAGCGCGTCGAATAGTAGGTATACGCTTTGTTTTTGTTGAGGTCAATTTAAGGTGTTCACATCAGGTCATGGTCAGGGCAGAGCCGCTCAGGCCACGAAGCTGGCCCAAGGAGGTCATATCGCTTCTTAGATTCGGTAGGTCCTCACAAGTCCACTGGTGGCTTCCCGACTCGCTAGCTCAATTTGATCGGGACTTTTTGGTGAAAACTCCTGTGACCTTAATGACGTCATAAATGAAGTCGCCTAACTTTAAGAATGGAAAAGTGAATGCTGGCCGCTGGGGCTTGCAAAGATTGTATAAAATTGCGAATTATTGCGCTTGAGACAGCTTTAGATGGCTCCCGGCGCCATAATAACAGCTTTCATATTTCCCAATTGATTAATAATCGTGAGGTTGCGTGACCGACCTGACTTCAGGTGACTCTTGCGAAAAATGCGAGATAGCTACATACAAGCTGTGAGGCCTCTGGGAGATAGTACTAGATCATATAAGCTTCATTCCCCGTTGAAAAGTCCCCTGGCACGAAGGGTGCTGCGACGTAGCGACATTTTGGGACCTTACATAGGTTCACTTTTGACGTCATTGGTCAACGGCCTGACCTTAACCTTCGCACTTGTAGGAGGGTGTCGAACAGACCTCCTACCCTCAGTTTTTGTGCAAATAACTCGCGCAAAAAGCGACTGATTGCGACGAAACTTCCAGTACCCTCGAGTTAATCAATATTGCGCCTACCCTATAATTTGTATGACCCTGGCTCAAAAGACCTTTGACTTGTGACCTGTTTTCCGAGACCATGTTTGGCCGGAATCGCGTTTTGGCGTATTTCGAGAAGAGCGCGTTTTATTGTCTTTTTGTGGCTTTAACCCTATTCCTGGCGGGCTCCGCCGGGACAAGAAACGCGGGGGGGGCGATTCGGCCCCCCCTGAGATCTCGGAAACTAATGGACGGATTTTGATCCGGTAAGCGGCATTGGATTGCTCTCAACGTGAAATACATTTTAGACATTTTTAATATCAAAAACGAAAAAACAAACCCCTGAGACCCCCAAAAAGCCAAAATTTTCCGATTTGGCAGTTTTCAAAGAATGAGGTCTAGCTCAGTATCTAGGAAAGTCAGAGCAAAATGGAAAAAAGCAGCTGATAGCTGAGGAAATTTCCTTTCGAATAGCTGCCAACAGGTTTCAGCTATTTTTGATATTTTAGGCGCTAGGAGTCAAAAATCTAAAAGCGTATTTTTTAGTAACATCACTTTTGCGTCAATAACTTCTACACCGTTAGTGATAGCCTGAAACGGTAAACGTCGTTGCAGTTCTCTAATAAATGTGAAACAAATGGTTTGTATTTTGACCTACTAAGGTCACTCTCAATTTTGAGCTCAGGTCACGGTTGACCTGACCTGAGCAAGTATAGGCGAGTAACATATCATTCGATACGTCATGACTAGGGAAACATGTTGTTATATAAAGAAGTGTTTTATCATATTTGTTTTACTTTTTATCATTATATGAAGACGATATGAATGTTTCATGCATATAATTTCTGATTTTACCCCAAACATGTTAGTTTGAATCGTTTCCTCATTGACCGTAATGGTAAGCATTGGTCACCTCAGGTCATGACCTGTCAAGGATATAACAAAAACTGAAACATATGTTGCACATATCGGTAAGCTTATTTGAACCTGGAAGTTTGAACATATTTGCTCGAAAACTCTTGCTGTGGTGAGGGGACAAACTTTTTTCATGACCTAAAATTAGGTTGACCTGGTGACCTGACCTGAGGTCAGATCAACTCAAAATTTCAGAAATGTTGCGTAAAAGTCTTTTAGGAAAAGTCAGAAATTTTGAGCTTCCTAGCTCAAAGCGTTTGGGAGAAATAACCAAAAAACCTCAGGGGGGCGGCTCCTGAGGCCCCCCCCCCCCCCGCCAGGAATAGGGTTATGCGATCAAACACGTGAAAGGATGTTGATCCCATGGATTCTAGTGGGTATCAAGGTCACGTGAAGGTCAGTCAGGTCACTGACCTTTGATGACCTTTGTTCACTCTTTCGAGCTCTATGTGTCCAGGGTAGATTTTGGAGTTGATTTCGCATTTAGAAACCGTTTGAACATTTAAGAAGTAGTTTTGGTTCCCTCGTGACATGTGGCCTGAACTGACCTGACCCGACCTGGCCTAAATGCACGAAAACATCATCTGTGATAGAGGTGGCAAAAGATGAAAATTTTGGGAACCAGACTCGAACCAGACCCGGCTGGACATTTCTGGAACCAGTCGGACCCGGTCTTAGTGGGAATCGGCACCAGTTGGACCCGTTCCCCAAAAAGTCAATTAATACAAACTACTTGTAGGTGTCATTTGTTGCATCATATAAAACAGCCTATTTCCCACTGGGAATACTCATGAGCTACTGTGTGCAAAGAAACATTCACTTCATTCACTTCGTATTTTGCACTAATGTGTAGTGTGCAAGATGTATAGTTTATGGTAGGACCCGGTTGGACCCATCAGAAAATTTCCAGGAACCGGTCTGGACCCATATGGGTCCAGACTGGTTCTTTGGACCGGGTCCTCGGGTCCACATTTTGCCACCTCTAATCTGTGATCAAAACTAACTTGAAATTCGTGATCAGCACCCCGCAAAACCTTATAACAGCTTCACTTTACGAAGCTCTAACAGGTCCCGATTCCCCGACTTTTGAGTTATATTGACCTGTCAACCAATGACCTAGGACCTTAAAATTGGGTATCATCGGCCTCCTCTCGTCACGGGCAACACGCTCTTTTTCCGCGAAGCTCTAGCTCGATCAGGGGCTGAACGGCAAAGGGGTCCAACGGACCCTCCCCCCCCCCTTTACGATAGACGCTGGCAAAACACCAATATGGGCGAGGGTGAAAATATACCTGCTGTCATAAAAATTCAGCTTGAATCAA